TCATATAGCTGAACCAACTGGTTTAGAATATGGGAAAGACAGTTTATTGAGTTAGGTTTTTTTTTTTTTTTCTGTGTGAAACGGGGTTGCACTTTCTTTATAGATACCGCAGCTGCAGTTTATTTGTTCAATTTATTGGTCTTCTTAATAAAGGTAGGATTAGATGAGCCTTCGAAATTGTTGTCAATGGTCATGTTTGATGAAACTAATGAGATGCAACTTGAAATGAAAGGTTTTGAACTGGGAGGACGAAATGATGTATTTGGTTGAAGTTGTTTGAGTGTTTGGCTGCTGGTACAAACTACAAAGCATGTACTCTCGTGGATGTATTTGCAGTTTGTATTCTTATTTAGTCTTGGCACTGCAGAGTACTTATGCTGTAGGTTCGTTCGAGTACCTCATACCATAACGTTGCATCCCCTTTCAAGTACATGTGTGTCTGTCAGTTAAGTTTTGTTGTAAATACTACAGATTTTAGATGTAAACATGCTATTGCTTGTTGGCTGTTTGAAGTCATATTTGAAAGTGTACTTAAATCGTTGGCCTATTAAACAAAAGTTTCATTATCAAAAAATTTGTGGCCTATCGAAGAACAAAATGTAGTTTATTACGTAAACTTACCCTGTTTTGGTCACATATTTTGGAAGCTCTGCGCTATTAATTACTCGATTTTTCATGTTTTTCCCCTTTCGTATGCTTATCTCATTTACTTGTCAGACGCGGATGTGGTCATGCAACGTGAGGAGCAAGTAGTAAATTGTAATGTGCTGGAAATGGAAGATGGTCTTGCTGATGACGAACAAGATGAAGAAGCTGTAGGAATGCTTGAGGAATCACCGTCTGGCACTGAGATGACCACAAATCCCCCTGGTATGTATTCACTTCCCTATAACGGAGTACTTTTTCCTGCTATGTCAAGGATATCAATCATTATTCATTAGTGATTCTAACTCTTTCCATAAAATCCTGATTATCAAAGAATTGAGGTTAGATTCTGATATTGCTTACTCTTCTCAGAGAAGTATATTCCTGCATACTTAATTGGAAAGTCAACTTTTCTTTTATGATCATTCTTAATATTAGTCTACATGATAAGTGGCTATTTATCAAGGTTTTTAGACAAGTTTGATGCATTTTATAGGTGATGATGAAGCTTCTAAAAGCGATGATGATTCATCTACAAACATGGACTCTTCAACCCCCCTTCGGGTGAGAACTATACATATCAGCTCTCTCATTTTGGCAGCTAAGAGTCCATTCTTTTATAAGGTGAGTAGTCTTTAATGTACTGCTATTTTTTTGCCTTAATTAGGCACCTCCTGTTTTATTTTTTTAAACAACGATTTGTTTTCTTCTTAGTTGTTCTCAAATGGCATGAAAGAGTCGGAGCAACGGCATGTAACCATACGAATCAATGCGTCGGGTAAGTACTAAATTTGACTTACTTTCTTGTGTGAAAGATCCAATTCATTCAAGATTAATGTCTGTTTTTTAAGATTTAGTAAATTTTTCTTGAGCACTAAGTGCAATATTTGAGATTGGAGTTAACAGGAAAACCTTGTATTACCCATTGTCAGAAATTTAAGTGTAGTTGTACAGATGAGCTTCGAATATTTCAACTACATTTCTTTCCTGATTGAATCAGGGTATAAACCAATGTCAATGCATGTTTGGCTCTAGCATACTATGGGCATTGTCACACAGACCAC